TGTGACAATATGTGCAATTGCATGAGTATATGTTTGTGTGTACACATGTGCATGTGTATTTAAGAGAATGTTTATAGTATCATTAAGAGATCTCTGATCAAAAAGGAATAAAATGTGGTTTAGATTTCCATGGAGAAATGTTATCAAAAATTATCTTCAGCAAAAAAAGTTTAAAAATATTTGAAATAACTACTTATACATATAAAATACTCACATATTCTGCTATTACTATACTAAATTTGGCATCTTCCAATTTGACAAAAGAGATTAAAAGTAGTGAAAGTTTGTTTCAAGAAAAACATTTGTAATAAGAAATGTTTTATCCATTTTTTATAGAAGTTAAGGAATAAACAAACATTGCATCTTTTAAGATACTTTTCAATTGTGTTGCATCTTTTCATGGTGATTTTTTACAAGAATAGCCTGGGGTTAGATGAAGAATATAACCATGGAAAAATTTTGAATTGCAAAGCACTTTCGCTCTATCTGTAGTTCATTTTATGCTATTTCTACATAATACCAAAATTAATGAACTTGCATTAATGAGAATCAAATTATGATAGTTCACATCTTCTGTCTTAGCATTTTTCTAAGTTCAAAACTTAATTTTGTTAGAAAGAAGATACCCAGGGCTGGGGTTATAGCACAGTAGTAGAGTGCTTGCCTAGCACATGTGAGATGCTGGGTTTGATCCTCAGCACCACATAAAAATAAAATAAAATAAAGGTATTTATAAAAGTATCCTACTACAACTAAAAAATATTTAAAAAGAGAGACTCACAGATTTCATACTAATAGTTTATAAAACATAAATTATCTAGTAACATTACTCTGAATAGCCACTTAGAAAAAAATTCTGTGTGTTGGCTTTAAATGTCCAAGTTCATATTTTTTAATGTGATATAAGCGAGTGGATATTTGAATGGACAGAGCTTTAGGAAACTGGAAGATAGTTGGTTTAACTAATTTGAAGGAATTTATGCTATTTCTTTTCTTTAGGCATATTGGAATGGAAAACTCTCATTTTCATACTTCATTATAAGAAGACAGCATATTTGTTCACTTGTAACATTAATAAAATAGAGTTGATAGTTTTGTTTGTTTGTTTGTTTGTTTTCAGTGCTGGGGATTGAACCCAGGGCCTCTCATATGGTAGCCAAGTGCTTTATGATTCAACTACCTCCCTATCCCTTTTATTTATTTATTTTTTAATTTTAGAGGTAGGATTTCACTAAATTGCCTATGTGGGCCTCAAACTTGTGATTCTTCTGCCTCAACCTCCAAAGTAGCTGGAATTAGATAGTTGAGCTGCTTCACCTCGTTGGTTTTGTTTGTTTGGTTGGTTTTGGTTTTTAACAAGAGGCACAGTAAGTAGCACTAAGGTTAAGAAGGACTCCAGAGCCCAGTAGATTGGATTTGATTTTCTAGCCTGTGATTTATCATACATGTGACCTCAGGTATTTTTCAGTCTGTGCAGTTCAGGTTCTTTAGCTATGAAATGGAAATCATAGTTACACTTGACATGAAATTAATTAAATTTATGTACATAGGCACTTTGAGCCATGTCTAACACAAAGTAAGTATTCAGTAAATATTACCTATTATTTTATCACTTTTATTCTGATAGATTATTAAATGTCATTATTTTACTACTCTTTATGCACTTCAGTTTATAGGACCAAAAAGTTATATAACTAATTAGAACAAATAAAAAAATTAAAATGAGACCTAAAGATTTTGCCTGGCAAACAAACAAACAAGACAAGTCAACACAATAATGTGTTTCTTGTGGATAAAAACCACAAAAGGAATGGAATTTCCTTTGAATAATAAAGGAAACTTGTATACCTTTATTTCAAATGATGAAGGAAATGTGTATATATCTTTATTTCATCTGAATATCCAAATAAAATTTAAATATTAAAATTGACACAATGTTTTTCTCAAGTTCATAGCAAAATGATATTTTTGATAGGAATTGAAAAGGTATTTTGGGCTGGGGATGTGGCTCAAGAGGTAGCCGCTCGCATGGCATTCATGCAGCCCGGGTTCGATCCTCAGCACCACATACAAACAAAGATGTTGTGTCCACCGAAAACTAAAAATTAATAAATATTTAAGTTCTCTCTCTCTCTCTCTCTCTCTCTCTCTCTTTAAAAAAAAGAAAAAGAAAAGGTATTTCGATGAGGATAGATGTTTTGGCATACCCCTTTTTTTTTTCTCTTGGTTACAAAGGTGATAAGATTAAGTAAGCTTGTTGAAGAATAACAAAGGAAGATTATCAACTTCATTCTAAAAGTTTAGAACCTTTTTTATCATTGAACTTTAGAAGGCATACATCACTGTGAGCTCATCTGCAAAACCCTGAAGCTTACTAATACTTAGAATCTATGAGACATGATGAAATACATATGGCAGGGGTGGGTCACATATCCCTTAGTTGACTCTGGATTTTACTTGTTGGCAGAGTCCAGAGAAACATGTAGTCATTACTTCATGTATGGCACAGGCAATCCCAGGGAAGAAACTGAAGATGCTTAGGACTTCTTTGCTTGGAGACTGTGCCAGCACTCCTTATCAAGTTATTCACCATGCAAATGAACAGTGAAGTCCCACACTGAAGCAGCTGTTAACTACATCATACTGTTAAAAATGATCAACAGTGCCAGAGGCTAAAATCTAATCAGACAGGTGAAATAGTGATAAGATAAATATTCCTGCCTGTAATAGCAATGATGTTTAATTAATTTATTTATTGTAATTCTACCACAGCAACTGAATTTAGAATTCTTGTGAAATATGTTAAACTCTCTAAAGATATTTTTTTCCACTTTGCAAGGTGTGGAAAATGAGAGACCTGAAAAATGGGATATTTTATTTGAAAGTATTTTTAGGATATTTCGGTATATTTGACTGCATGCAGATATGAGTGCCATTCCCTCTAGTGATGATATACTATAGAAAGATGCATGCATGCAATTTCCAGTTATGGCAAATGAAGGTTAGCTACCAATTCTTGCTTCTATAGTTTGTCTTCATTTAATGTGAAAATAAAGTACAAATAAAAATGTTCAAAATGAAGGTAGCATTGGAGTGTTTCTGCTTTGGTCCCCAGAAATAAATGAGAAGAAAAATATTACATGGAAAAATAACATGTAATATACACAAAACTATGCTGATGTGTTATAGACCATCCATAAAAGCATGCCTGTTTACTGAAAAAATTTGTGACTGCTCTTTTCTGGAGAGGAGTGTGTGTGTGTGTGTGTGTGTGTGTGTGGTGTGCGTGTGCACACATGCACATGCTTAATGTGTTTGCTCATTTTTATTTGTGGGTTTTAAATATACAATTCTGAAAGTGTATCTTCACCTGCAGAGGATTATAATTATTACATTATGCATATTGTTTTCTAAACCCAAGTACATTAGAAACTAAAGTATGTATAGTTCAGTCAAAGGGTAGTACATCAGAAGCATTTTCCTTAATGTTTGTAAGAAATGGAAATCATTTGGGATTTAGAATAACAATTTGGAAGATTGTATAAACACATTTTTTTTTTGCTTTCTACACATGTCATAGCCCCATCCATAGCTATGTTTTACCACAGCTAATGTCCTTATATTCGCTCATATCCATTAGTGCACAATCATATTACCATATTGTTTGCATTGACATCTCTATTTTTAATCTACTTTAAAAAAATTGCATGACAGGTTTTTTAGTTAAGTATTTTTAGTGTATTATTAAGCTAGTTAAAAATATTAGCATTAAAAACATTAACCTTAAAAACATTAGATATCAATCAATGTGATTTGTCACTTTTCTGGAGTCAACAGAACCTATTAATATGACTTAAATAGGTAGAGAAGGAATATGTGAACAGGTGTAATCTGTTATTCTGAATATTAAATATGTTCACACTCAAATATATTTTAATGGAAACTTTTAACACTGTAGATATAAGAAATACACTTAGGGTGATAATAAAAGTTTTTAGGACTTAGTTTTATTTTTAAGAACTCTGCCTTGTAGGAAGTTAAAGGATTATGAAATTAATGGACTATATTATGAAAACCTTTAAGTAAAAAATTGTTTTTTATCATTTCAATTTCACTCCTTAAAAGTGCCTGAAAAATCAATTTAGTGTATTAGATACAAAATATTCCCTAAATAGTATACATGTTGCAAAGTTCTGGTAGAATTCATGGGGAAACATGATGACAACATATTAATACAAAAATATTATTTAATATTTAGAATTATAGAATAAATTATTTTAATACAAATATACATGAAAATAGAAGCAAAAATTGCTTCTTTATTATAGGGCCAAGGAGGCTCAAAATACAAAATAGCAAAGAGTATTTGGAATCAACGTGTGTTTTGGATAACAAATGAGATCAGCAAGACCCTCAGCATAAGCAAAAATGAACTTGCAATATTCTTGTCCGATATCTAAATCACTTGTGTTTTCTTAAAAGCCTACGAATGTGGTGGAGGACTAGGGGAGGAGCCCATTTTAATTAAGAGTGCTATCAAGAAGAGGCAGCTACTTAAAATGAAAATAATATACATATACTGCTATTTGCTTAAATATAACAATGTCATGAAGAACCTTAATCCGGAGGACCAATACATTTAATGCTCATGGATAAATCTTAAGACTTTCAAGCAAAAGAAGAAAAATAAGAAAATCTCGTCAATATAGGTTTTGTATAAGACTATACTGTCATTTATTTACTTTTAGGCTTTATTATTTCAGTTTAAGGGAGAAAAGCCTTATATTTTGATTTTTCCTAAGAGTTGGTCATTGACTCACTCTAGTGCTGTAAAGTTACCTTACTTTTCTGAAATGTCTTTGTTCTTTTGCTCTTGCAAAAAGTGACATGCCACTTTTTAATGTGTCAACTCAATGAGCCACATGACCAATTTAAAAAGCATTTTACTGAACTTTAAACAAACAACAAAAAAATCTTTTTTCTTTTGTTTTGTCTTTCAGGAAGTTGATGGCAATAAAGTTATGTCTTCATTCGCTCCACACAACTCATCTACCTCACCTCAGAAGGCAGAAGAAGGTGGGCGACAGAGTGGCGAATCCTTGTCTAGCGCAGCCCTGGGGACTCCTGAGCGGCGCAAGGGCAGCTTGGCTGATGTTGTTGACACCTTGAAGCAGAGGAAAATGGAGGAGCTCATCAAAAATGAACCAGAAGGTAAAGGCTGGAAAAGGAAATCGAGTCATTTCTGCTGTGTGGTTTCAGTACCTTGATTTTAACTCCTAGGTGTTTTTTTTTTCCTTTATGCTCATAAAGTTAAATTGGACAAAACAGAAACCAAATGCAATGAAGATGAACAGTATTCTTTCTCAGAAACACTTAGATGTACATCTCTGGATTTTTAAAATCATACATTTATGTTCTGATGTCTTCCTTATTTTCCACACACAAGTGAGTTGTGGTTGAGTGAAACTTAGATGCAAGAATGGAATGTGGCAGCCGAGCCCACAAAAGTCACCGCCCTGTCAAATATCTCAGTCTTGTTTGTTTATGTCCAGTAATTTCTTTTCATCAAGGACCATTTTAGAATTTAATTACATTTTTTAAACTTTTAGAATTTAATTACATTTTTAAAACTTAATACATTAATATATCTTAGGTCTATTTCTTCTATAGTCCAAAATTGATATGGTTAGGCCTACTGTGTATTTAAAAATTAGTGATTCTCTTAAACTCCAAGATGTGCTCCCCATTTTGTTGAGCTTCTGGAGTTATTCTTTTTAAGATTTCATCTCTGACTCTCTTTAACATTTTTTGACAACAGCCTGAAAGTGATATGCACAGGGACTTATTTCAACAGTAAGGCAAATAAACCAGTACAAGCTCATACACAATGGATGTGAGCTTTATGTTGCTGATGCTTACAAACACCTACTTACACCTGTGTATGTCCCAACCATGAATTCCACACCACAAGCAAGAACATGTTTCCTGTTTCAATCAAATCAACCAGTAATGGCATGCAAAGACATATTATAAACCAAAAATATACTGCATGTACACTACATAATACTGAGTTGTTGTACTCATTTCTAGTCTGTTAGACACTGGCAAATACCAAGTCTCTCTGACACGAAATGTATGTTAACTAATTTATTTGGGAATTATGTGATAAATATTTCTGGATCCCTATCAGATATAGAGCTAGGCCATGGATTATGGTTTTTATTTATGCCATTCTCATGATCTTAGAATTGGAAAGAATTCTAGAAATGATTGGGTCACCCAAGAACTTTTGGTATTTTGATATCTTACATCCCCTTCTATTCTCACAGAGATAAAAATGGAGCTTTATGGAGGACCCAGACAACTTTAAAAAAAAATACTGTGTGTGTTTTCCTGATATTAAAAAAATATGATCTTATTATACAAAATATTTTAAAAACAAAAAATATTTAATGGAAAAAATAAAATTTACTTAAAATTGCAGATTTTTTGATATGAAACCTGTCATACATTTATTTTTGTATATTCTGTTTATTAAACAGGATGAACTTCTTCCTTTCAAATTATTTTGCAGCTTCAGTTGCACTTAACATTTTAGTGTGTTTTCTCTTATCATTAAATGTGATTTGGAAAAAAATAGCTGCCAAATATTCAAAGATATTCACTATTATAATTCATATATTTTTAAATTAATAGATCTTTATTTTCATAGAGCAGTTTCATATTTACAGAAAAATGAAGCAGATAATAGAGAATTCCCATGTGTTTCCCCCATATACAATTTCCTCTTATTAATATTTTACATTAGTATAACTACATTTGTTGTAAGTAATGAACCAATCTTATTAGATCATTATTTACCAAAGTCCATAGTTTATTCAGATTTTCTTTGCTTTCAACAAGGTTGGTTTTTTTTTTTTTTTTTTTTCCTATTTGGGGATCCCATGAAAGTAAAAAAACACATTACATTTAGTTGTCATTTCTCCTAGGGTCTTTTTGACTGTGAATATTTGTTAGACTGTTCTCGTTTTCTTTATTTTAAATTATTTTTATGTGGAATTTTTTAACACATCAAAACAAAAATTATCCATACTAATGGGGTATCCTGAGATGTTTCAATGTATGCATTCATTGTTGTAATCAAATTGAACATACCTGTCTTCTCAAACATTTATGACTTCTTTATGGTAAAAATATAAAGAAGTTTTTCTTCTAGCATTTCTTCTAACTATTTGTACAATAGTTATACTGTTTTTGTTTTTGATGACCTTGAAAGTTTTGAGATTCATGTATATGGCAGGATGTCCATTGATTGGAATTTGTCAGATGTTTTAATTAGACTTGGGCTTGCAGTTTGGGGAGGATGACCACTGAGTAAAGTGCATTTTTTGTCACATCATATCAATTATATACTTTCTATGCAATTAAGCATGTCGATGTTGACTTTAAGGGTCTAGCTAAAGTAGTGTTTGTCAGGTTTCTCTGCTATAAAGTTGCTGCCTGTCCTCTTTCCACACCACCTTCTTTAAAAGGAAAGAATTCTGCGTGTCCACAACTAAGGAGGAGGGTGTTATGCGCATTCCCTTTGTTTAGGGTGGTGTATCTACATCATTGCATTGGAATTTTTTTTCATTTATTTCTTTTCCCTCATTTATTTATTTAGTCATTTATTTATACTACTGTAGACTCAAGGAAATTTATTTTATACTTTGTATGTCACTTAGACATGCCACTAGTATTGTGATTGTGTTTATTTGTTTTAGTTTCTCACTGCCTTATTTTGTGGTGCTGTAGGCTCATTTTATACCTTTCGAGTACTCCTGTTCTACAATCAGATATTTTTCCAAGAAGCCCTGGTTCCTTTTATTGGAGAAAGGATCTGGATTCTAGGTGTACTCATTGCTTCTGAGATGCTATTTCTATTTTAGTGAGCATTTTCAGTGCTGTGACTAAACAGATGACAAGAACAACTGCAGAGGAGGAAAAGGTTTTTAAGGGCTCACGGTTTCAGAGGTCTCAATCCATAGACAGTGGACTCCACTCCTCAGTGTTCCAGATGAGACAGGAACAACCTGGCAGAAGAATGTAGGAGAGGAAAGCAGCTCACATGGTGGTGATCAGGAAGCAGAGACTCCACTCTCCAAATACAAAGTATATACCCCATAGCCGTACCTCCAGTGAACCACTTTCTCCAGCCACACCCCATCTGCCTCTAGCAACCACTCAGTTAATCCCATGAAGAATTTATTCACTGGTTAGGTTAGGGCTATATAACTCAATCATTTCTCCTCCAGACCTCCTTGCATTGTCTCACATGTGAGCTTTTGGGGGACACCACATCTAAACCATAACAATTTCTTTTAGGGCCTCTCAGCTGGTACAACAAATAAATTTATATGTGTATATTAATCTACATACATATCTATAAATATTACTGTGTTTAACAATACCTCTCTGGAGCTACACATGAATTCTTACTAGTGTCTCCAATATTAATCCCTGTTTATCCACAGGGATTATTTTAGCATAATCTCTTCTTGATCTGTACACTCCCATCCAACTTTGAGAAACCTGACTCCCACCATCCACTTACTTAATTGTTTAATGACATTATGTACATATAACAATACCAGAATTATTAATAACAGAATTATTACCATGATAAGAAATATCTTGATCAACTATAGTATAGTTCTTATATGGAATTCCTCCTGCTTTTCTTCTTAGAGATTCCATTCTTTATCCAAATTACTTAGGTAACTTATTTTCTCTCTACCCCATTCAGTAAGGTCATTTCATACATTTGTAATACAATTAAATTCTTTCTATTTTCTTTCTTGATATTCCTCAAACTTCTAAATGATTTTTTTTAATTTGCTTTTATATTAAGGTTCAACCTTTGCATTTTACATTTCTAAGTGTCTTGATAAATGGATATAATCACTTAGTCCCCATTACACTACCGTGGAGACAGTTTTCATCATCCTAAAGTATCCCCTGTGCTTTACCTGATCATCCCTCCCTCCTTTTCCAGAATACCAGACAAATGGTTATCTTTTCCTATTCCTACCGTTTCACCTTTACTAGAATATCTTATAATTAGAAGCATACAGCATGTAGCCTTTTCAGACAAGCTCTTTACTTATTAATATATATTACTTCCATGTCTTTTCATGGCTTGATAGCTCATCTCTTTTTATCAGTGAATAATAGTCATTGTGTGAATGTACCACAGTTTGTTTATCCATTTGCATATCAAAGGACATCTTGGTTACTTCCAGTTTTGGCTTATTTGGAATAAAGCTTCTATCAATATTCATGTGCAGATTTTTGTGTGGACATAAGTTTTCAGCTCAATTGAGTAAATACCTGGGAAAATGATTGCTGCAATATATGGCAGCAAAATGTTTGGCTTTTTAAGAATCTGCTAAACTGTTTTAAATGTGGCTATATGATTTTACATACTTGCGATAAATGTAAGTTCCTGTTGCTCCACATCTTCTTCAGCATTTGATATTGTTAGTTTTTTGGATTTTATTAATTCAAATAGGTTTGTAATAGTATCTCATTATTGTTTTAATTCTCAATTCTGTAATGACAAGCAATGTTCAACATCTTTTCATATGCTTGTTTGATGTATGTGTATTTTCTCTGGTGATGTGTTGGTTTAGCTGTTTTCTGCATTTGTTAATTGAGTCACTTTCATAAAATTGAGTTTTAAGACATCTTTATATATTTTGGATATAAGCCATTTATCAGATATATATTCTGCAATTTTTTCTCTCCAAGTCTGTGGCTTGTGATTTCATTCTTTTAATGTTTTATTTTTTAGAATGAAAGTCTCAGTTTTAATAAAGTCCAATTACTGACTTTTTTGCATAGCTAATATTTTTGATAGACACACACTTATTATCTTAAGCAAAGTAATTTAGATTTTCTCCTATGTTAACATCTAGAGTTTTATAATTTTGCATTTTATAATTTAGGTCTAAGATTATTGTTAATTTTTTTAAAGTTATAAATTTTGTATCTGGATTAATTCTTTGTTTATAGATTTCCATCTGTTCTAGCACCATTTGTTGAAAAAACCTCCCATTTTCTATTTAATTGCCTTTGTTCCCTTGTCAGGATAGTTGACTATTTATTTCTACCCCCTATATCTGTTCTCTTGATTCATTGGTTTGTACTTTGGCCAATACCATGCTACCTTC